TTCAAAGCCCAACAGTTGTTGGTATCATGGCCTGGACTTTCTAAATGGTAAGCACAACGAGCATTAGGGTGGTAATGAGGAGAGGCTGTGTTGGGATTCTTCAGGGCTTCCTTTAAAGTTACCATATTAGATCTCAATAAATGTGGCAGGACTTGAGACAACGTCATATTTATCTGGTTAAATTGTCTTACTGGTATTTCCATTCTAGGTTGGTTGCTCCTTTGTTGAGTAGGTGCAGACTTAGGGATCATGACAACCCCTACCATTCGACGGTGTTCAGTTCTTTCTTGATTCCTTTGAGGGTATACAACACCAACTTCTTTCTTCCCAATAAATGGCTTTCTCACGGCACAGGAGGATGCATCTTTTTGAATCTTCCCACTCTTGATCCCAGCTTCCACTATTTCTCTGGTCAAGATTAATTCAGTGAAGCCTGCTGAGGAGCTTCCAATTAGATGACTAAAGAAAGGACCTGACAGGGTACCCAAAAACATGTCCACTAGCTCCCTATCAGACAGTGGAGGCTGGACTCTTCCTGCTAAGTCCCTCCATTTCTGAGCGTAGTCTTTGAAACCTTCGCTTGAAACCATAGCCATACTCTGGAGTTGAGTACGGGTGGGAGAAAGGTTTGCGTTGTACTGATATTGTTTATAAAAAGCAGCGGAAAGGTCTTCCCAATTATGGATATTGGCCCTTTCCAGTTGATAGAACCAATCTAGTTGAGTCCCGGATAGACCATCCTGAAAGAAGTGGACCCACAAATCTCTGTCAGCAGTGTGAGGTTGTATCTTCCTCATATAAGATCGGAGATGCATCTTGGGACACGAAACTCCGTCGTACTTAGAGAACATTGGTGCCTCAAACTTTGGTGGAATAACAATCCCAAACACCAAACCCAGCTCTTCAAAGTCTAGCCCGGGCACTTTCTGAATCTCCATTGCACTTATACGCTCTTCCAGATGTTTGTATTTGTCATCTGCTGGAGGACACTTTTCTTCAGAGTAATCCTCATCTTCTTCCTCTTCAGATTCTGGCTGGGAAGTCACTTCCTTGCCTTTCCCTTCTTGATTGTCTTTTTCACCAGATGATGTCGCGAAGTTAAGGGTCCGTCTAGCTGGCCCTGGGAACCTTCTTCCTAGATTCAGAACACCGGTTGCTTTCTTTGCTTTCTTCTTCTTTTCTTCGACCAGCAAAGTTTTCAAATCCTTTTGTCCTTTGGCTAGAGTCAAGAACATCTGTTGAAATTGAGAATTTTGCGCCTGGAGGTCTTTTACTATCTGCTCGAGATCCATCTTACTGAAATAAAAAGTAGAAAGATGAGGAGACTTGTTGTAAGAAACCTGCTTATGTTATGATGAATGGAGATGCATATGCAATGATTTCAAGGAAATTAGAGATTTAAATTTGCTTTAGACCAAAAGGTAACACACGTTATATTAATAAATCAAAGCTTGAGTACATCATGCCTCTTTAGGCTTACAAATAAATACAAAAACTTTAAGATAAAAAAGTTGAACGCATCCTCTTTGGTGTGATGTAGGCGTTCAGACTCCGCTTCTCATGAAGTTGCTTGGTGAGTTCCAGAACCTTCTTCTCGCTGGCGTAGAATTGGGCCTCGAAAGTGTCTCGCTCCCCCTTAAGTTGTATCCAATCCCTTTGCAAGTCTTCAAGAGAGGTGGGAATGTCAGGATGCAGGATAGTGTATGGAACATCTTCTTCCATAACATGCTCTATGATAACCGAGAGAATGGAGGGGTAAGGCATCATAAGACTTTGAGCACGAGCTCGTACCCATTTGAGGTAAGGCTCAAGAGGGATGGAATTCTTATGCCCCAATGTCTTGCTATCTACCTTTTTTAACATCCTCCAAGCTCGGATAAACCTTTGGCGGTGACCTTGATCGTTTTTCTCGTAGTCAAATACCAAACCTTGAATAAACATCTCATGCGGGCCATCCCTTCGGGCGTAACCAAACTGTCTTAAGGCTAAGCAGGGGTTGTAGGTGATACCCCCTCTAATGCCAAGTAAGGGGACATTAGGGAATTCTCTACAACGGTCGATGATAGTAATATTCTCTATAGATCGGGAACACCAATGAATTTCTGAATGTTTGAGCGTCATCAACCTATGTGACCACCTTGAACCTTGCTCGTTCTTCAATACAGATTGGGGAAGATGAGAAATAAACCATCTTGCCAAAAGAGGAGTACAACATATAAGGATACCTCTTTTCCTCATAGTGCGAGTGTGAAAAGAATGTAGGATGTCTCCTAGCAAAGTAGGCACCGGGTTACGAGACATAAAGATTTTAACAACGTTTACATCTATGAGTTGGTCAGGATTTGGAAATAAAACCATGCCATAGATGAGGAGAGCCAAAATTTCCTCAAAAGCTTGCAAGTATAAGGAGTTCCAACAGTTTTGGGCTTTCTCAAACAAGAACTTGGCTAAGAAACCTTTGACACCACTCCTTGTTTCCCAATTAGTTGTGATATCAGATGGTTGCAAGTGTAAGGCTTGAGCAATCTCTTCTGGTTTTGGATCTATTTCCGTACCGTTGAAAGGCGGTTGATTTAGAATGGGAATCCTCAAGAGTTGGGAGAATTCTTCCAAAGTTGGCACAAGTTGATAATCGGGAAATGTGAATCAATGGTGTAGAGGATCAAAGAACTGGAAGAGCACCTTCATCGTGTCTTCATCAGTGTTAGAGGTAACCAAGTTTAGGAGGCGACCATGTCTTTCGGTAAATGGAGAATTTTTGGGAACCCTTGATGCTAGCTCTTTAAGTTGAGAAGGGATCCTTACAAGATTTACTTGAATGGTTTTCCTGCGAATAGAATCCATGTCCTACAAAATAGAATAAAGATAAATCCCAAGATCCTTGAAATGGTTAGTGAGTGTGAGTATGATGTTATGATGTTTATGATGTTATGTACAAGTATATATATACAAACAAAACAAATAAGTCCTTAGGTTTAGGCTTGCATGGAGTCTCTTAGGTAAGTATCCTCTTGAAGTTTAGTTGGCTCAAACCTGTCCTAGCAATAGTAATCGGGTTCTAAGGGAGCTCAATATCAATGGTTTGTTTCCTCGGGCATTGTTTCAGCGCAAGCCTCTTTAATGGCGACAAAAATATTCCAAGAAATCAAACCTCAACGAGTGTAGTATCGAGTATCTACCAACTTCAGACTGCACCAAAGCCGGTCATCTCACTGCGTCCTAATGGCCAAGTTGGTTAAGTAAAGGTTATAGAAGTTAGTTAGTGCTTCATGACATCACTCAGTGGCCCCGTATTCTCCTTGACTACTCAAGGGCTACCGGTACCCACAAATATGTCACACTAACGTAGTTATTGCTTAGACCATGTCGGTATACCTCGCAGTTTCCATAATGTATTGCTACTTACCTAGAAGGTATCCCAAATCTAGGTAGAGGATTCAAACCCAAATAAAGAACCAAAATGTAAAGCATACAAGTCAAACAATGAAAGCAAGTAAATGTGATCTAGCCCTAAGGTAACCCCACTTTTAAGTTATCACTCCACAGCAGAGTCTCCAGTTCTGTAACGCAGTGGGAGAACTGACTTGGTCGTTTTGTGTTTGATCGCAAATGTTGCGGTTTAGCAAGAGTCGCCATCGATTTTTCTTTTATACAAAAGGAAAGGCTGAAAAGAACAGGAAATAGCTTTAAGATGTTTTCTTGAGTTCGGGGGGTAGGTTATGAAAAGGGAAGGTGTTAGCACCCTTTTCATCCATGGTTTTCCATGGGCTCTTAGTTACTTGCTAGATCACTTGCTTTTGTTTGAAAATGTGCTTTATGTGGTTTTTGAAAGTATTTCGAAAAGACGTCATCGTTTTAGGCAAACTTTGTAATGATTATCGCTCGTAAGAATGTATATAAAGTGTTGATCTTATGAAAATGTTTTCAAGTTTGAAAGATGTTTTTTTTAAAGTGTTGGTGTTTGTTTTGAAAATAGCAAGGATGTTTTGGTTTTGAAATTGAGCAAGCAACTAGGAACATTCTACTGTCATACCCTAATTTTTGACCTAAGATCCCGCATTCCATCCGCATCATTGCATGGCAAGAGTTCACAAGCAATTCGACCTATTTTTGCCAATTCCCGAGTCAGATTTCAAAAATTCATAACTTCTTCAAATTTCAATATTTTGAGGGGTTATTTTTTGCATATGATTTTTCTTGACACCATCTACAATTTTTCTTTACAAGACAAGAGATGATTATGCATTGAAAAGCCACGAAAAAGTTATTAACGTTCGAAGTTGTTTCACGAATTTAATGGAATTTGATTCTTAATTTTGGACTATGTTTTATCCGACCATAAATTTTACACTTTCTCTTCTTTTATTTTTAATTCCATGAAAAAATCCTAAAAAAAAAAAATATTTAGTTCATGTCATCTTAATTTTTATTTACATTATTATTCAAAATATAAAAAAAAAAGTAGTCTCTTCAAGTTTCATTTAGATTTTTATTCTTAAGTCAAAATTATAGTCTTCTAGATTTAATTTAGTAAAAATCTCAACAAAAAAAACATGTCTTAGCATTATTTTATTTTTAGCATTTCACTTTAATCACAAAAATATATAGTTGATATCTTTTCCTTTTAATTCTTTTAGTTATTATAATTTTCATTTCTTTCTTTCAATATTAATCTTGATTTGGTTCTAATTTTAATTCAACTTTTTAGTTGAGTTATTATTAAAATTAAAATTAATTTTAATTTCTCTTTAATTTTCATGTTTTGGAAATTTTTAGTTTAATATTTTTTTATTTTTTATTTTTTGTTATTATTATTGTTATTATTATTATTATGCTATTCCTCTCCTTGTAAAAAATGTCCAAACAATAAAATCAGTCCAAAACCATGCTATTGTCCCTATCCTAACTTTCCATAAAACCCAAACATGCTACACAACAAAACTTGCTGCTACTTCACTCCAAAAACCTGCATAAAAACCAGTCTGCAAACAACCTTTTTACTACCTTTGCTGTCCAAAAAGCTTGCCCAAAATGAAATCACAAATCCCTGCATCAAGAAAGCATAAGGAAGTTGACATAAACTAGAATTCAACTGATATTTGGCTCCAATTTTCCCTCCAATTCTATCATACACTCACAATAAAAACAGAAGCAAATGGTGAAGAGTTGAGAGAGGTTGTCACCTAATTCCTGCAATAGCAGTAGGAGAAAAAACAACAAAGAATACAACAACACCCTCTCACAACAACGTAACCTCACCTCACAACCTCCCTTCACCCTCTGTTTCTATTTCCAAACAACCGCCTCTCTCTCAACCTTCTATTCCTCCACCTCTGTCAACCTTCACAGTATCCACCACATCTCCACTTATTCTTTTTGCTCACAAAGACCACCATCATCACCATGAACCACCCCTTTTGACCGATGCAAATTGACAACCGCGATTTCATCACCTCCGCAGCCGTACTGCACCAAAGCCATCTGCAGACAACACATATCCACCCGTCCAGTTTGCATCACACTTCAAATTGTGAACCTTCTCCCTTCCAGCCATCAAACTATTTTCAACCTCCATCACCGACCTCCTGTGCATGAAACCCTCTTCATCCTTCGAATGCCGTACACGAAGCTCACCCCCTTCAATCATCTCCGTGCCACCCTCGCAACTCTTTCATCTTCATCACACACTTTCTCTTCTCCTCCTTCTTCTTCTTCTTGCACAGTAAGGGCAAAGAAATTAGAAGGTTTCGCTGTATTTATAGGTTGATGAATGTGAAAAGATGCGTTCTATGCTAGTTGTTATTGTTGGTTGCTGGAGATAAAGATACTATGGGCGGTTGTTGCTGTCGTGCTTCTAAGGAGACTGTTTTGAGTGCTCCACCTGCTTACTATTATCAGTATCCAAGAGCATCAGATGAGCATGTTCCACTATCTTCTCATCAAGTCAGTGCCACTCAGACTGCACCTGTGGCTCAAGAAATTTGCTGTGACAAGAACAACACAAATTCTAACTCAGTTCAAGAACCATCTGGAGACAATAACGCAACCCCACCTAAGTCAGAAGAACTGAAGGAATCAGAATACAAAGGTCAGACTGATTTAGAACTAGACTCGGCAAAGGATTCTGAAATTGAACTTTCAAAGTTGGGCAAACCTATAAATTCAGTAGAAGAAGAGGATGGATGCCCAATATGTTTAGAAGAATATGATGATGAGAATCCAAAACTCACCACAAAATGTGACCATCATCACCACCAACAACTCCGCACAACCACCCTTCTACTGTCATCCTGCCATCATTATCACTAAATCACTACCCATCATCCAGCATCATCACCATCGCAACACCCTGTCCAATTCCCTCCGCCATCCTTCCATCTCCCAGCTCACCATCTTCACAGCTCAACGCCTCTTTCCAATTTTCCGTCATCCACCGAACCATCATAACACCACCTATCACCGCCCAAATAGCATCATCCCCAATAGCCCTTCTTCCTCTGAACATCACCATCCAAAATCTTCCCACTTCCATTCTCCTATCAAATGACAAAACAGTTGCAAATAGCCAAAAAAGAAAGAAAAAAAAGATAAAATAGCTTATCGTATCGGTGAGGATCGAGTGACTGCATCGGGAGGGCGTCGGTGTTTGACTGAGACGCGAATTGTAGGATTGCTCGTAGATGTTACGGCCAAAAATTTGTATGTCGAGGGATGATCTGAACACAGAGGGAGCAGTGAGGGATTGTTTGCAGAGGAGTGGCATGGTTCCAGATCGGAGGAAGTTGTCATCTATATTTGCGATTCGTGTTGCAGCAGTGACGCCATCCTCTGGCAGCGAATACATTTTCACGGTTCGGCTTCGAAGGTTTTTTCACTTTTCTTATTTTGTTGATTTATTGCAAGGTTATGTTGTTGTTGTATTAGATTCCACCGAAAACTTGTCAATTTTGTCCCTCCTCTAAACCCAACATAACCCGAGCCCATATGCTTTCTTCTATTTTTTTTTTCTTAAATTTTTATTATGTTTTGCATCTTGGATCTTACCCCATTTTACAGCCCAGCATTAAATTTCCCATTTCACCTCCTTTTTTCTTCTGTTTATACCGTATGCCATTTAGTTAAATTCATTAGTTTTTCTTAGTTCTATTTAGTTAATTTAGGTTAGATTAGTTTCAATTTCTTATAATAATTTTTTTTTTTAGCTTTATTATTTAGTTTAATTTAATTTAGTTATCATTTGAGTTTTAATCTTTATCTAGTTTAGTTACTAATTATAGAATTTTCATTTAATTTATTTAATTAACTTTAGAATTTTAAATTTAATTTATAATTAACTTAGCAATTTTTACAATATTATTTAGTTTAGAATTATTTTAGTAATCTTAAGTTAATTTAAAACTATTTTAGTAACTTTAGAATTTTAGTTAGTTTATAACTACTTTTGATAACTTTGGAACTTTAATTTAGCTTGAATATTTCTTTTGTTTTAGTTACATCTCTATTTCACACTTTTACTTTCTTTGTCTTCACATTTGATTCTCCTTGTTGCTCATTTAATTTGTTTGCTTATTCTCTTATAATTTTCTTTGTTGGTGAATGTTATGTCTATAGTCTTTGTTTTACTCTAAGGAAAAGAGTTAAATTTTGTTGACTTCACGTCATCAAACACATCTCATCCAATCGTGCGAATAACCTCATTCATTTTTTGCTTGTTTACTATTTTTTCAAACTTAAGATAATTTTTCTAAAAGACTCCATTTTCAAACTCACACCTTTTAAGTCAAAACTTCGACACTAGGTCGTAGCATCTTCAAAATCTCGTCCGTACCCATTTTTAGCCAAACGAACCATTTTAATCAAACAAACAATTTTAACCCAAAAAAAAGATATTTCAAAAGGTTCTTGCGGAGTACCGCAGATGCATTGGGTGCTAATACCTTCCCATTGTATAACCAACCCCCGAACTCTCAATCTCTTTTCAAAACGCATTGTATTTTCATTACTTTTAAGTATTATTATACATTGCATATTTTTAGGGTTTTATTTCGCTCTTTTCCCTTTTCCCTTGGAAATAATAAAGCGCGGTGGCGACTCTTGCTTTTGTGAGTCAAGTTAATTAATAGCTTGATCTCCGATTTTCACCGCTACAGAATTGGCGACTCTGCTGGGGAAAGATTGACCTCTTGCTGGTCCATCCCTAAGTGGGTTAAGCCTAATTTGTTTTATCTGTTTTATCATTATTTGATTGTTTGATTATATGTATATATTATGATTATTTGGGTGTTGATAATATTTACAAAGGACAAGTCCTATACCCGGACTAAGTTACACTTAGGAATAGGACGGGCGGTATAGTCATGTTAACTTTGAGGGAGTAATCCCGAAGAAGAAGGCATGAGATCCCCCACTCAGTGGAAGGCCCTTTTGAACGTAATATTTGTTTACCGAGTAATCGGGAAGACATTATTATTTTCGACCTGGGAGCCAAAGAAGCTGGGAACCGTAGAACCCTAACCCATCTTGTCCTTTTAGGTGTAGCGCGGAGATCATAACGGAGTAATCCGGAAGTAATTGTTACGCGATGCTACGCTCGGATGAGTTTCTCTTGAGAATATTGCTGATTATTGAGTAATTAAGATGTTGGTAATATCCGAAGGAGGAATGTAGACTCCGGGAACTCTTAGAACCTTGTTCTACAGGTGTGATTAAACCGTTAGTACATACCTTGGGGGTGTTCCTTACCTTGACTCCATGCTCGTGACGTTGAACCTTTCGACTTTATTTGTGACCTTGCTTGTGGTTGTTGCATAGCCATGCATTCACGCATCCATAAAACCCTTTTCACTTGACTTTGAAGGAATTTGGAGGTCTTTCTTTGTAAACATCACAAGTTTCGTCAAGCTCAATGGATCTTGGGTGTTGATAGGGCGAAAACCCTAATCCACCAAAATGGATGATTGATCTTGATGATAACTTGATCAATGTTTGGAGCCAATTTAAAATTCATCTTCTATCTTCATACATTGATGTTTACAACTTAATATCTTGAGTTCCTTGAAAATCAAATAAAAACTCTCTTTTGCATATCATACATCATTCTACATTTTTTGTTTCAATTTCAAAAGTCTTTTTCCAAGTCTTATTTTTCCCTTGGTCTCACCAGTACAACACTCGCGCTAAGAGAACCATGGAGAATATCAAGCAAGAGATTTCTGAACTCCGTAGAGAGATGACTAATTTGAAAGCTAGTGTGGAGCGCTTAGCTGGTTTGGTTGAAATTCTGGTTGCCGCCCGAGTCAATCCTTCTAAGAAAGAAGAAGTGATGATAAAAGTCTTCACTGAAACTCTAAAATCATTCTCTCATGAGAAGGTGATGGTTAATGCACCTATTGACTTTCCTGACAAGGTGAATGTGGGAGTGCGTCTAGAAGAAGACGTTGGGAAGGGATGTTCATATGAAGATGGTAGCTCAACTAAGGGTGTGAAGAAGTTTGATAATAACTTTTCCAAGAAAAGAACCAGAGGAAGAAATAATCATTGTCAGAATCATCATGTTTCTCCTATTCATCAACAGAATCAGCAAGTTCCTAATCAGAGGAAAACCCAGTTTGATCCAATTCCAATTACCTATACAGAGTTGTTCCCTATCCTGATGCAGAGGAATTTGGTTCAGACTCGACCTCCACCAAAGGTTCCCGAGAAGATACATTGGTACTAAAAAGCTGATTTGACTTATACTTTTCATCAAGGTGCTCCTGAGCATGACTTGGAGGGTTGCTTTGCTTTGAATATTGAGGTTCAGAAGTTGGTCAGAAGTGGTATCTTGTCATTCAAGGACGTTGGTTTTGAAGTTCAAATCAAGCATGCGCCGAAGAGTAAACACGATTGATAGTGACTTTGATTTTTGAAGGATGTTTTCGGTGATTCAAGTCCAGATGGAAAGCCTTCCCCGATCATTAACTTATTTCTGCTTTTTGTAATTTTTCTTGTTTATCAAAACATTGTTTGCATGTAAGAATTTGTTTGCGTCTGAATGATTATCTTAATACAATGAATATGTTTGTCTTGAAGAAATTCATTCGTTTCACTCATATTTGTTTTCAAATTTTAAATTTCTTTTTGCATTATGATACCAACTTGTTGCCCATTCTCTTGCCTAGGCAGAGATTGAAGGGAGGATGATGATCTAAAGAACACAAAATCTCTGGTTGCATGCTTTTGGATAAAATCTTGCTGATGATGTACATGCATTGTTTCAAATTCCTAAACACCGGAGATATAAGGAAGATAATCCCTTGCTAACCCCTTTTGAGCCTTTGAAGCAGAAGTTTCTTTTCTATACGAAAAAACCTTGAATTTTAACCTGGGGCGGGGTAGTTTTAGTTAATCTGACTGAGTGTTCAAAATTCATAAGGAAGTTGTTTTTTGAAGAGAAACTACGAGGGCTATCCTTCGTGTATAATGAATCTAGAGGATGTGGAACCACAATGTTATCCCTCATTCATCAAGAAAAGAGGCAATCACAATCCTCTCAACAAACAAAGACAAGCTAATGTCACACATTTTGTTCAAAAAGTCAAAAATCGAGAAAAAGAAAAGGCCTGCTAAGTCAAAAAACATGAAAACGTGTGACTTAGGAAAAATTAA